GAATGCACATAAATTTATACATATACATTCCTTTTAACAAAGAATGTCATTATAGAAGTGTAACTCTGAAAAACATAAAAACACAAAGTTTATTTTGAGATTTTAATTATGTCATGTTTACATATGACCATATTGACTACAGGCTGTAACTACAACTAACACAGCATGAAAATTAATATTTTCAATTTCTTGGATTTGGATAGGAAAAAAAATGGGTATATTTTTCTTCTTACAAATTTAAAATTATTTTTATACAGTAGTATCAATTTATTAAAAAGTTTCTCATTGTTTTACTTTCCACAAGAAGCCTAAGGGGTACATTCTAAGACATTTTATCTCTGGATTTATGATACAAAAACTGAGTCATCAAGGCTTAAATAATTTTACTGCCAGTAACTATAAAGAATTTTAATACTTCCTTACTTATATTTTGGAGAAGCTATAATATTCCATTAGTGCTACATAAAATAAGCACCTCACATTACTATCAGAATAACTATTAAAAATACCAAAAGAAATGTATTTTTAGTCTCTCTGTATTAGCAAGGGTAGCACATACATCAAGTGGAAATTCTTACAGAAGTCAGGTCTATATTACATATTAATTTGCTACTCCAAATGGATTTAAAATATACTATCTGCTTCTAAGTTTATTGTTAAAATTAAATTACTAGATAGAGCAGAAAATGTTCAAAAGACCAAAGCATAAAGAATTGCCAGAATACTTAGATAATTTAGTCTTGGAATAAACTAAAATGGTTTATAAAAGCCAGATATGTAGACATATATCCCAATCAAGAAATCTTTTTCTGAACGGATTCATGAGAGTATTCAGCTCAAGCAATGCATGAAGTTAGAAAGCCAAGGTCAAAAAACATTTTCCAACTTCTTTCATGTGAGAATCTTATTATTCATATACACATGAGAACCTCTGGATCTGTTCCCATAGTTCACGTAGTTCTAACCTTGGAATATCTGCTGACTGGGAAGACAGGCTAAGTTATGACATACATTAAAAGATGCTTAAAATTCTACTTCGTTTCTATAATGTTATGTTGTGAGATGGCTCATGGTATATCACTTGTAACCACAGGATCTAAGTTACTAGACTTAGAAACTGCAAAGCAACATTTGATTTTCCAATATAATATGGTATTTACTGAAATACATAAATCTTTCATAATAAACAAGTTTCTATCAGCATAGCAGCAATACCTGCTAATTTTAAAAGATCAAAGTAAGTTTATAAGAAATTTGATTTCAAGAAAAAGGTAATCTATAATGTGCATCATAAGTAAGTTCTAAAAGAGCCTTCTAACAAGATAGTGATAATACGGCTTCTAATAATATTCTAAAAACATCAGAATCAAAATAGAATGGCCCACTTACTTTCCAGCTCTTCTTCTTCTCTTTTTTTTAAAAATATCTTTTATTGTAGATGAACACAATATCTTTATTTTAATTTATTTTTATGTGGTGCTGAGGATCAAACCCAGTGCCTCACATGTGCAAGGCAGGTGCTCTACCACTGAGCTACAGCCCCAGTCCCCCAGCTCTTCTTTTCTAAACACAATACTCAAATAAGAGGAACCAGAGTTCCTTGGAGAAGTAGTTTATGGTAGGTCTGAAAAAGGGAGAATGCATGATAAGCCTGTGGTAGAAAGTAAGGAAGTGCTCAAAGTATGTGGAAAGCTGAAAAGACAGAAGATACCTTGGAAGAGCTACCAATGGCCAAAATTGCAAATATCTAAACATAATTTGAATATACAGAATAAAATACAAACCCATATTAAATAAGTAAATAATGAAAAAGAGTTTTTATTATGAAATTCTAAGTAGTAAAAGTAATAGGAATAAGGGAAATAAAATGTCATCATTAGAACACCACAATAAATATCTTCTGTAGACAAGATCTATCATCTACCAAGAAATGCTAAAATTAATGGGGAATAGTTTGAAGAGTTTAAAAGAGGATAACTGTACAGTCTAAAAGTTTTTTCCCCCACATTCTTCTAAATCTCAAAAATAGAAAGAGTAATTGTACAAAGTAACAACTCAGCAGATATCACTAACCAAGCGATCAAGGCAATGTCACCAGTGATAAGATGGTAGACATCATGTTACTACTGAAAAACGAACTGATGAAGCAAACCATTTTTGTAGCAATCTTGCTAAAAATGCATACCTGAATCCAATCATAAAAAATCATCAAAACTCAAATTGAGAAACATTCTACAAAAGATCTAACGAGGAGTCTTCAAAGTGTCAAAGTCATGAAAGATAAGACTGAAGAAGAGTCCCAGATTTGTGAACACGAAAGAGAATGATCACTAAATGCAATATGGAATTCTGGACAAAAGCATAATACACAAAAAAAATATTGGTGTGAAATTCTAATAGGGTCTATAGTTAGCTAACAGTATTGTGCCAACATTAATTATTTGATGTTGACCTAGGCACTTTGGTTATCATCTTAACATTAAAATTATGTGGAAACTCAGAATTATTTTTGCAATTTCTGGATAAGTCTAAAATTATTTTAAAAAATAAGAAAAATTAGTAAATAATATTCTAGTTTCAAGACTAGAAAAACAAAATGGTAGCAATTACATGGACCTACTTTTTTAGAAGTAATTTTAATTGTCATCCAGATTAGGGCAAATCAAGGTATTTCTCTATGATATGAGAAGAATTAAACTCAGAAAAATAATTACTTATATAAATATCTATATAATCGTGGTATATAAAAAGATTACACACCTTCCCAGTGGTTGGGGAGACTGAGATAGGAGGATTGTGAGTTCAAAGTCAGCCTCAGCAATGGTGAGCCACTAAGCAACACAGTGAGACCCTGTCTCTAAATAAAAATACAAAATAGGGCTGGGGATGTGGATCAGTGGTTGAATGTCTCTGAGTTCAATCCCTGGTGTGAAAAAAAAAATGATTTTAACATGGTTAACTTTTATATTAGTAGACTAAAATAAGCTCTTAAAGAAGCTTCCCTTTGTTTAAAGAAATGAGTCATTTAAGACTCAAACCTTTCTTTACCTAATTATATTCAGTATCTCAAAGGCAGATAAGAACATATACTGTTTATGTGTAACATAGTCTGTACCTATACAGCATCAGTATAGTAATTACTGCATTTCTCTCACTCCTAGAAGATCATGAACAATAGAAGCAAGAACTATCCATCTATTACCAACTTAATAGCCCTAGTTCAGCACAGTTCTTGAGACATGGGGGTGCTCATATTTATTAGCTCAAAAAATGAATAAAATTCCTTAGTAAAAGTTCTTTCTAAACTGAGCACAGTGAGCTCACCTCTAATCCCAGCAGCTCGGGAGACTGAGACAGGAAGATTGTGAGTTTAAAGCCAGCCCTAGTAATGGCGAAGCGCTAAGTAACTCAGTGAGACCCTGCCTCTAAATAAAATACAAAATAGGGCTGGGGGTTTAGCTCAGTAGTCCAGTGCCCCTGAGTTTAACCCCCAGTACCCCCCCAAAAAAGTTCTTTCTAGTTGAATGGAATTACTTTCATGAGTTTAATGTGCTTTTAATTATAAGAAGCAATTCCCTGGGAAAATTATGTATAAAATTAAAAATAAAATAATTCTCAGTGTATTTTTTTCAAATCTTAATATTGTCAATACAGTTTACTTCTGTTCTGGGTTATATTTTGCTTATAACTAGTCATAAATAAATTTACCCATTCTCTTAAATTTCATTTATAATTTGTGCCATTATGGGTGAATTAATTTTTTTAGCAATTAGTTTCATTTGAATACATATTTCAGAGACTTTCAATTTGTCAAAAAGTACCTGCCTTTATTATAATGGTCACTGGGATATGGTACAAATAATCTAAGCCCTATGCACTTCAAACAGTTTTATGGTATTGCTTGTGCTATTTAAAACAATAAGAATATATTGGCCAAATGTTACCTGCTATTCTATATCAGAGTATGTATGCTTTAGGACTAGATGCTGTATTTTTTTTTTTTTTTTTTTAGTGGTGCTGGGGATTGAACCCCATGGCCTCGTGCATACTAGGCAAGTGCTCTACACTGAGTTACATCTTTAGCCCTTATCCTATTTTTAATATGCCTCTACAGACTATATTTATCTACAGAATCTAGTAGATAATAAAAAGACTTCAAGGTTTCCAAAAGTATGAGGATACAGATGAAATACATGCAAAGCAAATCTATCACATCAAACAGTATACATTATTAGACGCAAATGAATAAAACTTTCAATCATGATCTACGATTGTAATTTATTGTTGTAAGAAGAAAATGGATTTGAGTGTTCAAGCTGCAATTTTGGAAAATGAACATTACATACTTTATTGTAAAACAGTTTAAAATAAATTAAAGATTTTTAGTGAAAGGAAATAGCTTTTTAGGAAGCTATTCTAGTTTAATTAAAATCATAGTGAAGCACATAACATATTCAATCTGTACAAACAGCAAGTGTGTTTTGATCATTTTTATCAATAGTTTAGATTTCCTGTCTTAACACATGATGAAAAAGTAAAAACAAAAAGCAATAACATATTTAATATTATTCAAACCAACACACAAATGTTTATACAAGTCCTAAACATTGGTCCCAAATAATTTTCTATAATTTTTTTAAAGTATGTGATATTTAAAAAATGAGCATCCCATTTCTGTGCATTTTTACTCCAGTTACATGCTATAGCAACAGGAAGTTTTGCTTGATTTTAAGTACTCTCAAATTCTCATTAGGCCTACTTAAGAGCAATAGTTAATATCATGTTTACATTTAATTTACTTCTCAGAAAAATGTCCTCAGTGGAAATTTATTTTATTAGCTAACTGTCCAAAGCATGTATCTGGGAAACAACACCACCACAAGAAGGAGGGAGGAAAGAAGGAAAAGGAGGAAGGCAGAAGAATAGAGAGGAAGGAAAAAGTTAAGCAAAATGGGAGGAGGAGTTACAAGAGAAAATATAAGCCTGATAAATGGCCTTACCTTCATTTTTTTTCTCTGCTTTTGATGCATTTTCTACTTTTTTTTGTTTTGCTGCTAAGAGTTCTCGCTTTAATTGTCTTGCTTCTTTTCTGAGCTCTTCACTATAAAGCAAAAACAGTTATATGTGAGTATGATGACAAAAAATTGTTTAGCAAAAACAGAAATATAGGCTTTTAGGTGTACTAAGTCTACGAAAAAGGGAATAATATAATTCACTCATTTTGTTTCTATACACATAAATTTGTTGTACAGAAACACACTAAAATGATATTTTTAAAGTTGTAATTTTTCACCAAAACCTTTTTGAGTTACTACAAAATATTTCTCTTTTCAAGTATATCAAACACAAGAAGGTAAGTAATAAATGACCCAATACCTTCTTAATTCACAAGGATTAAATATTCTAGTTTCAATTAATATTTCATGGTGATTTGAAGTCAAAACAAAAATTTTAATGTAAGTATATTCACTAAACCTGTATTTATACAAAACAATTTGGCTTCAAATTTGTTGAATTCCTGAATTGGCACCACTAATTATCATTTATTAAGCAATTATTACATGCTAGGTCCACTGCTTAAAACTTCAAAAACTCATTTGCATATTCAAACTCAAATTTGTAACTCACTTAATACCATAATTTGGCATATAATTTCCTCTTTTGTGAAATGTACTATGCACCAAAGTACTCTGATGATTAATGTACTGCTTTCAGGTGTTAAAGGCAAACTGAGACATGTGTTGATGACATATATGAGAACAAAATCCATTTCTTGGAGGAAATTATTAACTACTCATGTATAAACCTTGCTATGATTTGGATATAGTTTAAGTGTGCCACCCCCGTATTCATGTGTTGGACATTTGGTCGGGGGAGGGGGGGAGGAGAGGGAGGGGGGATTGGGAGGTGATAAAATCTTTAAAGATGGTGCCTAGTGGGAGGTCTTTAGATCAAATGCAGGTACTGTGGTACCCTAGTCTCTCTCTGGCTTCCTGTTTCAAGATATAATCTTTCACAGGTGTCATCACCATTGCCATCTGCTATGAGGTGACACAGCTAAGGTGGGGATCCATTCCAGAGACTTCTATGTTGTTTATACTTGTAGCAGCCAAAACTGAATGTAAAATAAATCTCATTTTTAAAAAAAGTCTGCTTCAGATATTTTGTTATATAGTAACAAAAAAAGATGACTAATATAAACCCATAGGATCCCTTGTGAATAGTCAAGTTATATGTGTTGTGTCTTTGAATGTCAAGCATCCACTCTATTGTCAATAAAAACTAGACTGGATGAAGGATACTCAGAGAAGCTTGTAAGCTCAAGCAGTCAGCCCACTTTGGAAATGTTCTCTAATGCTCTCCAAGCCAAGGTTTAATTGAATCGTAAAGATCATTCCACACTTATATACAACCATTAGTGCTTCCTACCTATCCTAAATCTCATATATCTTTTTACCATTCACTATCCTATATTACATTTACAAAATTGATAAGCTTTATAATGTGCCTAACAGTTCTTTCTAACTGTTTTCCACATGAGAAAAACACAATCACATTTTGTGTCTGCTTAGACTTCAAGACCCTGAAATCTGAAACAACGCTCTCTGATCAAAATCCATTACCTCTTTATTTTTTCAGTCTTTCATTACTACTGAACTTACACTCACTCATAATAATGAAAGCCAATTCCTTAATTGTTATTCATGCTCCATCAGCCTCACTGTAATCCTCATTGGCTTTGTACCTATTGTGGATGGTATGGTCATTCATTTCACTAATGTCCTCCTCATCAGCTCCTTTAATTTTCTTGACTTGTTTGACCTTTGCAGATACATCACAATCATCTAAAAGAAATTGTGAATATGGTTTCATGTTGTTTCCCCTCAAGGGATCTGTTCCAGGAGACAAACCTCCAAAGAACAGGGTAACTTTAGATGTGAGATGTTGTCTGGGGATTTGCCCTTGTGACAACTTTTACTGATGATTCCCTTATACACTCAGGTTTGGGACCCATTGCTTAGCACTTTACTATAGACTTTATAGTGTCCCTTTTACAATTTTAAGCACTACTACTTCACTGATCCTTTTATTCAGCAAATAAACATGCTCAAATTTCTCTGGACTCTGCCTGAATCAAATGATTATCATCTCCACAAATGGACTCCATTTCTGAAAGAATAGTTTGCATACACAGTCTACTTCATAATCTCTTGCAATCTATCCCTCTTAATACTCTACTGAAACTGTTCCTATATAAACCAAATTCAATGGCCTTTTCACAGTTCTCTCTTCCTCGTTGGTCTATCATTCAATGATATTAAATACTCTTTCCTTCCTGAAATTCTATCCTAATGAGACTTTTATATCACTTTGGACTCTTGGCTTTCCAATTCTTCTCCTGGTTATTCTTTCTCCTCCTGTCTTACAATTATTGGCATTTTTCTCATCTCCATACCCTGTACTCGGCATTCATCAAACATCATTCCTATATAAGTTGTTCCCAAACCTAGAGGTTTTGCCTTAATTTTGATTCTGTATTTCTAAATTTTGTAACAAACATCTATGTAGGTGAGTGTTATCCAAGAAAGGTTAAGTCTACACATATTATTAAAACTTGTTTCATTGTGTTAAATTTTTCAAGTGATTGAGGATTTGCAATGTTGTCAAGGTAAAACATATGGTAAAACATAAAGCATTTTAAAGTTTCCAAGCAATACACTTTGATAAAGCAAAAAGAAAAGCTTAAATTATTTCAAAAGTATTACCTGGACATGCAACCAATAAAAAAAAAAAAAAAATCAATGTGACAGCATTGTCTTCAAAATCTGGTGTTTATGTTACACTTATAGCACATCTCAATTTCAACTAGCTACAGTTCAAGGACTCTGATCTAGATGGACAACATGCAGATGTCTTGACATTATTACAAATACTTTATTTTCAAACCTTAAGTTATTTCCTTCTTACCCAAATCTATTCCTTCTTCTAAAATGAATCTATTTGATCATAGAACCACTATCCTTCTAATGAACAGATTTTAAACCTCTGTTTCCTTTCCCTTTCACTGAATCAGTGTTGAAGTATATTTTCCAATCTCACTCACGTATAACAATTCTTCTTGCCAAGTTTAGTCTCTCCTTATGTATGTCTCAGACAAGTGCAGTTACTTCCTCTTTCTTGAAGTTATATGAATACAATTTTAGAAATCTCTTCTTTAGTCAGCATGAGCTCTAATGGAATAGTATAGAACCTACACAGGGAACAGCAACCACATATTTGCTCCATCCACTGAATCTCCCTACCATTTATTATGCTAGTTTGCATATTTTTTAATTTGGTAAGTCATTCAGTAATTTAGATGATGTTTCTGAAGACTAAGCTCTTTAAGGTGACTTTGCAAGTTGAAGAGGAAATGCTACTTTACTAGGCAAAATGAAGCAGATGAGAGAATAATTTCAAATGATGAGGCAAAGAAAGTGTATACCATGGAAGATATTATTGTAGAGACATGGTTGTAAAACACAATTATTAAAAGAGATAATTTGAATTCAAAAAAGTCCTGACTTAGAAGCTAACTCCATTACTTATTAGTTGAATGATGTGAGAACAGTACTTAACTTCTCAGATTCAGTTCCTCAACTATATAACAGGGGAAAGATGTAAAATATCAAGCACAATACAGGTTCAACAAATGTAGCTATCATTATTTAGGTCATATGTTTATAATAACACTACTATTATGGTCTATTTGCTATTTAGGAATATTTCTTAATTATGTTATTATTACACATAATTGCTACCTTTACTATATATGGATCTCAGCTCTGTTCATAATTTTAAAAGGGCACTGAATGCATAATGCTTGCTTCTAAAACTTTATCCTTAAATAGTCATACTAGACATACTATTGAAGTGTATAATCTAATACAAAGTGAACAATGATGAATAAAGGCTCAAAAAAGACAAATTGAGAAAGAAAGGGTAAGTCTACACATATTATTAAAACTTGTTTCATTGTGTTAAATTTTTCAAGTGATTGAGGATTTGCAATGTTGTCAAAATCTTTCAGACTATTCAAACATCACCATTTGTTAATACTTGTGGAATCCATAATTCTTGGGATGAAGCATAACTTTTTAAACTACTCTTTAGATCAGAGTTTAATTTTAAGGTGCCAATCTTATATCCTCTGGAATAATCCTATCAGTTGGCACTAGAATATATTTAAATCTGTTAAAATGAGTGTGAAAAATATAAGTTTGAAATATATGGCATGGTACTGCCACATCAAGGGCTTGCTTTAGAGTTCAGAAAGCATCTTCTTGGCCCCCTCAAAGCCTAGTTCTACTTGAATGATAAAAGAAATGGCTTTAATAAATTGCTATTAACTCTCAGTTAATTAATTTTTTTCTTAATAGGTATGTTTCTAATTTGAATTCATTTGAATGTTAATATTGTTCATATATATCACTGTTAACCACCAGGAAATTCTGCATTATATTATATATATTTTTTATGTTATGTGTATATTTCTATAACATAATATATATAATATATATAAATCTGGTAAATCTATAATATCTCCTGTCCTAATTGAAAAAAATTCCATTTAAAAAATTCATCCTAACAAAGTACTAATAGCCTAAAAATTACAGTAGCCTTTATATATTTAGTAATGGCAAATAAATTACTAATTCATTCAAAAATTTCTAATATTTAAATGGTACCATTCTTGATATAGGCACAGAAATCAAGTTGAAGTTAAAGAATCTAAATTCATTTGTTCTTTAAAGCTCTCAATTCCCACTTAATCTTCTTGATAATCTGTGATATAGGCATTTTACAAGAAGGCTTACGTTTATGGGCATTAAATAAATACCTTGACTGAAGTCACATACTCTGTAAGTAATAGAGCTAAAAACTGAAGATGACACTCTAAACACTCTGAATCCTAAGTCTATATTTTTTTCATGAGGCTACAAACACCTGGGTAAACTTTCAAAAGAAACTTTAATACCAACAAAGGTCATAAACCATGTACATAACAAAAACAGTACATGATAAAGAGTGCTAACTACCATGAAAAAGAAATAACTGAAG